AAATATATTTACGTTTTATTTGAATTCAAACATACACAACTTTTTTAATTCTCAAGGAGGCTATTTGCTAAACACCACACTTTAAGTTCTTTGTATCGGATTTTCAGTAGCAGGTCTTAGTAGATCGCGCAAAATTCGGCTTTTATAAATTTCAGAGTTTTTTGTTTATTGTTGTCATAGTAGCCTGCAGTGCTTCTACCCTCCCCAATCTTCCTCTGTCATAAAATCAAAGATGGCGGCTACAAGAATACGAACATAAACAAGTTTTCACCTGCCCATTTCGCTGTCGCTTTCGCCCATTTTACTTAAAACTGCATTTTGAGAAACTTAAATTCATAAACAATCACTTTATAACGATCGGACAAGGACAAAATCAATTAAAAGGCGATAGAAAAGCTATTGAAAAATATCGGTATGGTCTCCTAAAGACTATATCAAAAGACCTTAATTAACTGAATTTGTTTAGAAATATTATAATTCTCGATATTTATTCTATTTGCATAAATGACATATTCCGCCATCGTTTGTTCAAATGTCTCCCCCCAAAACAGTTACTAGATTTCATTATCAGCGTCCAATTTACCTGCCTCGTCCGTAGTCGCTCGCGTTAGTTATCGGGGTATTTAAGCTGTATTAACAAGTAAGGCGAGAAAAAGGAGAAAACGGAAAGGGAAGGGAAAAAAAGCGAATGTTTTACCTTCCCATCTCCTTGTAAAAACCTGCGCACGAGGCAGTACGTAGAGTTGATACGTGGCATGCTATATTATTTACCTTAGTTTTGTCCAATGCTTTTTGTATAGGTTAAAGTTTATGATTTCTATGTTTAAGGGAGATTTTGAAGTGGAAATAAATTAAAATAGTAGTATAGTAGTATTATTACACTATGTCAGCTATACTGAAGTTTATGTTTAATATTGACAGGGCGATTGAGCAGTCAATATAAAGTAACGGTTGTTCCATTATTACACTATGGTAACTGTAGTTCATTTAAAATACTGATAAAGTCGAGCTCCTTTACTATTGATTAAGAGTACTACTTAACCCTCGGCCGTACAAGGGAGGGGGTGGGGGGGGGGGTGGATGCCACTTCCTAAGGTTTCTTCTGAGTTTTTTCCGAGAGGATAAAACATCAGCACCCGACGTTTTCAGTAGCTGTTCGTTCATCGCTCGAGCAAGTTCAGTGATGTCCAATTGCTATGGTTAAGGGATATGACGTCAGAAGTAGCAGGTGGTCAAGCCATTTTGGGGTAAAAATACATGGTTTTTTAAACTTTTTTCAACAATAAAAGTAAATATTGTGGCTAAAACAATTCAAAGTGCTTTTTTATGTGTTATTTTTCATGTAAGACAAAAAAAAAAACTATTTCTCGCGGTTCTAACCTGATTTCTAATTTTTGGTAAAATCGAAGATGGCGGCCAAGATGGCGACCATTGTTTGAGACGTCACAGGCCTCCAGCAACGCCACCACCCATAAAATATACCTCACCTTGTAGAGAAGATCAAATGCTTTCCACCAAGGGTAAAATCGTTTCGAAATACTGCAACATATCAAAAACTCCGGGGAGGGGTTTCATCCACCCTCCCTTGTCTCAAGGTAGGGATATGAATTTGCATGTACGTCCGTGGGTTAAGTCACATTTGTGCGCATAATATTATAGGAAAAATGTAAAATACAAAGCGTCAAGCGCAAATAAAGAGAGAGAAAAAAATCCTTCTCTTTGGTCATTTTAAGTTATTTTGCGAATTTAGAAAGTAGCAAGAGAAATTCTTTCAGTCGGTTACTGGCTGCGAGCTTTGCATATAGTATTG